CCACAAAAACACATGGGTGCAAATGCATGGATTATATGTATACAGATAAGGAATTGAATTAATTGCTGCTAAGTTTCTGCTTCTCTTTTGGCTGATTATGATTTCATGGATTGCTAGAATCAGGTGGGAAGCAGTAAACACTTATGCTTGAGGCAGAGACTATTCTCTGGCTGACATTTTCAGATAATTTGGGTGGCAGTTCTCTGCACTCAAATATTAGCTAATTTAGGATGTGGAGTGAGTGGATGAAGATGGGATCTGCAAGAGGCAGACTTGCAGGTGTACAGATGAAAGCAAGATGAAAGTCTGCAATCTGCAGTAAGTAAGGACAATGTGGTTGCAAAGGAGATTGGGTTTACAGTGCTTTTGGAATTAGTTGCAGGTCAGATGGGTTATCACATGGCAGAACTTCATAATGAAATTCCCTGTGCATGTTTTTCATTTCCATTTGTAATTCAACTGTTTAATACTGGTACACCATATCTTTTGGAGGCAGCTTTATTTCATGGAAAATTAACTTCTTTTATCATCCCAAAACAGGGAAACTTTTATTCATCCTTCTTTGTAGTTACTTATGTGACCTTTAGCCCTGACTTATTGCAGAGGATTCAGCATATTCATCAAGCAAGTTCACATTATACTGTAATTTGTATCCAATTTCCACCAAGTTGGCAGAAGTACAGTTCAGGAAAAAAAAACCCTGTATACATGTGAAGCTGATGCCTTAGAGCTACCACATCTGGCTCAAAAATCCTGATAAACAGCAGTTGGAGCAGAGAGTTACAAGAGTTTTCTGTAGGTCTTTGCTGCCATCTAGTGGTTGTCCAGATGTTTGCAGCTCAGATTTGATAGGTTTAATGTTTGCTTTATTTTGTCCTGACCAAAAACTGGGTAAGTGGGAAATGCAACAGAAAGATCAGCACCATGCATTATCTTTAAAATCTGAGCAATGCAGAGCGCAGTGGCTGAGTTTTGAAAATCAGTTTTAAATACTGAGAATGGATGTGAGAAAAGGACACTGTTGTAGAGCACTGAATATGCATACATTTTAAGGTTTGTGGAATCTGAACTTGGAGCTCCCCAAATACCAATTTAATCTGGCCAAAGTAGAGCAGTTTTGGGGGATAGGTGTTATTTGGGGTTAAGATGCAAAATAAATGCATTAAGCCTTGCATCCATAGCAATCCATTTGCTCTCCCCAAAACCCAGGGCAGTTTTTTTCCCATGGAGTAGCTTAGGAGTGAAAATGGGTATGTCTTTTGCTTCTGCAAGGCTGAATGCATCTATTTAGACATTTGAGTCTCCATAAATGACCAAATACAAAACAATCCAAACATTTTAACCTTATCCACTTTGTGATACCATAATGCCAAGGCTGTGTCATCCATTCCATCAAGCAAGGCAGAAGGAGGAAGTTTTCCTAGAATAAAAGAATATTATTTTCTATGCAGCTGCCTGTAATATGAGGCCATGCAGTCTACTGCAGGAGTAGACAATCTCTTTAGGACACTTTTTTTGGTGTGCCTTTGAGTTGGTCTTGCTTCATGGCAACTACATAGATGGTCCATGTACTTTTATTGGCTACATTTTGGGAGAACGGTTTGCCACTACCTCCTTCTAGGGGTGAGAGAGAGTGACTGGCCTGAAATACCCAGCTGGCTTTGTGGATAAGGCAGCACCAGAACTCAGTCTCCTGGTTTCTAACTTGATGCCTTAACCACTACACCAAACTGGCTCTCTCAAGACATATACAACAATGAAAAATGGTTTGAAGGCTGTATCTGCACATATATCACATACAGACAAATGTACACATAAATACACACAGCTGTCCCATGAACCTTTTGTGACTCAGAAATGTATTCATACTGTATACTTTGCCCCATTTTATGGAGATTGGTTATATTGCTGATTGCTATATTGCTGATTGCTCTTATCAAATTATTTTTATAAAGATTGTTTTTATTTTATTTGTACTCTGGACTCCAGGAGGAGGAGGAGGAGGAGGAGGAGGAGGAGGAATATATCATACATGTACATATACTCCCACCATCGTCTCCATGTCTATGAACAGACAGTTTAAATCTCTTCTCTTTGCAAGCTAAGCTTGCTTATCTCTCTGTTAGCAGAGGGAGAGATGTACAGTATAATTTAAATGGGGAAGACAGTGCACAAGGATGCATTTTCCCACACACTGCCTTCTATTTAAACTACATGCCTAAGAGACCAAAAACAGCAGTTTGGCAGCTCTTGGAAGCATGACTGTGCCAAGCACAACAGGATAATTCTTCTCTGTACTGTCTTTTCCAGCAAAATTGCTAAGTTCTCTCTTACCCTCTCTTTGTCTATCTTAAGTTGCAGTTCCTTCCTTCCCCTAGTGCCATAACTATTTCTCTTCTGAGAGAAGACAGGTGCAAAATTATTTCTAATAATAATTTTAATAATAAAATAATAAAGAGTTCCTATAGTATCAGGAGATGACTTTGTATTCTTCCTGATCTGTGTTCCCATTGTCCATTTCCAAACAGTGTCCTTTTTTTTCTTCAGCATTTTAAAGAACTCAGCATATATCCACGCTGGCTTCTTTAGATTTCTCCCTTTTTTCCCTTTTGCAATTGTGCCTTCAGTGTCTCATTTCATAAAATGCCCATAATTCCTAGATACTTTTCTTCTTCAGGATTTCAAGCCACTGGATTTGGCCTACCTTCCATTAGAGTTCATCAGAATCCATTTTTCTGAAATCCAGGATCCAGGACTCTTCTCCATTCTTTCTGCTCTGAATATCACAATTTGAAGGGTAACACAGTCACTTTCCCCAAAGTGCCAATCAGCTTCACTTCTTCAACTGTTTATTCTCTGATGGTGAGAACTAAGTCCAGATTAGCAGATCCCTTGTTCTTTCTTCCACTTGCTGACAAATGAAGTTGTCAGCAAGTGAGGACAAGGGAATTTGTTGGGACTCTTGACTCTTGGCAGAGTTACAGTCCCAGCAGATGTCAGGATAACTGAAATCACCCATTATCACTTTTTCATGCTTCTTTGAAAGAGTAGTCATATGATGCAGAAAGGTGAATCAGATTCTTAACCAAATATTTTCAAAAGGATTTACATGCACTCATACCTGAATTTCTGTGTAAGTATGTGTTTCATTATAAACATCGCAACACCCTATCCCTTGTCTTGAATCTGTTCCTTTTGAATAAACTGAAGCCTTCCAGTGATGTCTACCAATCAAGAACAGCATCCCACCAAGTTTCAGTGATGCTTACCATATCATATTTGTGTTCCTGAATTAGGATCTGTATAATTCCCATATTCTGTGCATTGGTATAGAAAGCAATGTTTTAATAGACTGCTTATAAATTTGAGGTTTTGAATACCATCTACCTGTGCCTCTGTTGTTGTGTCCTGAGAAACTCTGAATCCCTATCCTGTTCTTCTGCCTCTCCTTCCGTATTCTGCTTTCTTGGCCTCATTCCTTGGCTACATACAGGTGAAACTCGAAAAATTAGAATATCGTGCAAATGTTCATTTATGTCAGTAAGGCAACTCAAAAGGTGAAAC